GAAGCACAGCTAAGTCAGCTAAAAAGCTCTGTCTTGACCTGTAGTTCAGCAGAAAGTGTTTATCCTATTGGTTCCACCATGAACACAACCAAATTGGTTGAAGTTTGCCAAATGCAAATGTTTGTAAACTCAAATGAACAGAGCACTTCATTTATTTTTCTTCCATGGAACAGATGGAACAGGAAGCCTTTGCATGCCATTAGTGTATTGTCTCAATACACTTGTAAAATCCAGGCTATTCCACAGTAATTGACTTGAGTATCAACCTGACATCTAGTCTCCCCGAGGCACAGAGCAACTGTGCTTAATGCATCTGTTAAATGATTTGGGATGTTTAATAGTCTAATTTCAGCAGTATTTACATAGAATCACTCACCAGTAATAGAGGTAGTGCTCTGAATTTGGAGGCTGGACAGGTCCTGACTTCCAGGTGCACTCCATGTGCTCCTTCCCATAGTAGATACAGTGAAAATCTCTTATTCTTGAGCCTGCCAAACCTGAGAGAAAAATCACAGGCATCTTTAGTTAAACAGAAATTAAACACTTAAAAGTGATTAGTGCAGGGCAAAAAAAAAATAAAAATCTGTTTTAATTTAATCCAAAATTAAAGGTTGTTTTGACAGTGTGTCTATACTTGCTATGTACAGATTCCTAGAAAATCCTCACACCCTTTGAAATAATTACTTCCTTTGTCATAAAGCCTGAAATCAACTCTTCTAGCCTTTGAAATTTTTTTGTAGCCTTCTCCTAGCCTGTGCCTTTCTACAATTTTATCTCGAAGGTCTTTTGAAAGCAGGGTGTAATATGAGTAAAGATATAGATTTTCACACAGCATGTTGATTTTTTATTGGCACTGTAAAATAAATATAAATACACACAGGCATGCATATGTTTGAGAAATTGTTTATCTATATTTAGATATAAAATATGTGTATATGATATAAATCATAAAGAAATGTATTAAATATCTATGTAACAATATTACATGGGGGGATGGGGGGATATTTTGTTCTAAATACATAAGGAACTCAGGACATTGTAGAAGAGTAACAAACAGATCGTTGAAAAATAACTGTCATAGAACAGTACAATACAGCATAAATACTGAATGAAATGAAGAAGAAATAAATCAAATAATGATCAGAAACTATGGAAACCAAAACTAAAGAGGGCAAATGAATAGCAACTAAATGAAATGCAGATGACTGACAAACTAAGCATGCATTAGAATGACGCGATGGTGCAGAAATATATAATATTAAAATAGAGTAAGCAGTTTCAAACAAGATAACAAAGCAATATAAAAATAGAATATATATCATTTTAACAATAAATGTTTCTATTAGAGTTGGCTGTTGAATGGCTTGAGAAATGCATGTGAATGCTCACTTCTGGCCTGAATTACAATATTGAAGAATTCTGTTCTATAGTAGAATGATTAATTTTGAAATGGCAGTTATGCTTCAAAAGAAATTCTTATCCATGGTTCAGGCTCAGTTATCATCAAATTAGAGGGATCGTAATCCCACAGATGGTTAGGCCTTCAACTGAAATTTACTTGATCATTTACTGTATAAAAATTGAAGCAATGGCTGTTTAATTCACTTCAAAATAAATTCCCAAATAAATAGCGCATGATGAAACAGTTTTAATCCCTTCCAGATGTGTTTAGACACTTAGCATGTTTTTAAAATCATTTTTGTGTGTGTTTGTTTGGTCCATTTGGTCATTTTTTTGTTATACAATAGTTCAGATCAAAAAGGCTCAGAATGCATATTCACATTCATCAGTTCAGGTGGTTACATTTTTGTGTAATTATTGTTTTGATAGTTTTGCATATCTGAAATTCGAAGGTATTACATCACACACAAAGACGTTAAATCTTATGCAATACCTGCGTTAATGTTAATGCGGCTTTACTGATATATGTGTTGAGTGTTCCTGTAAAGTCTATCTGACTGTTTTATTGTTTCTAATTAGAATGGGAAAAGTCATCACATCCCTTTTTCGGGGAAATTGTTAAACGAAGCATGAACTGATGGCAGTGTTTTAAATATTGCTTCACTAGATTTTAACATCAAAGACATAATTTATGCTCATCTTTGGAAGCTCCTTTGAAGGCATCTTAAAGTCGGCATGAAATCAATTGGTACTTTTTAAAATATCTTTCTGTGTTGTAGTGATTGTTATAAATAATGTATCTGTGCACTTTATTATTTTGTAAAAAATGTATTTGCCCTCAGAAACTTTAATCAAATACCACAATCTTCCCTCAACTTCTTGAAACAACTTTTCTTTACTTTTGGTCACATGGAATGCCTTTAGGGTGAGGCTACAGTATCGACGTGATTCTCGCTTCAGCCCTGCTTTTGTCCATTCATCAGTCTTACTTCAGTTTGTTACCAACACCCTTCTACCAACAATTCAACCTGGTTCTCAAAGGATGAAATTATCAACCACCCAATTTTTGTTTCTCATTTAAAGAATGTTTTACTTGTCTGTACATGACAATATGGGGGAAAAGGGACAATCTTAACCCTCTGTTCCATGCTGACTTTAAGTAAATCTGTTTTGCACCTTGTTGTGTGAATAGCAAATCCATTTGCGCCACTTTGTGGACTCACGGGCATGCTGGTCTAAAATGTAAGGCGCGTTGTTGGCGTGATGCTATTTTGAAGAACTGAAATAGACCACACCATTGACCAAATAAAAGCAGGTCAAGCAGAACACGTTTTTACGCCTATGTGGGTTCAAATATACACGGGGTGTAAAGTAATACACAAATATCTTTACATATGAAAAAAATAAAGGATTAGAATGTTACAAAACTTATTATTTCTGCATTAATATAAAATCACTGCCTCCATGCCTTTTTTCAGTTCATTCCTGACACTCTTTTGACCACATTTCGATATTATTGTTCATTTATTCGTTTGTTGGAAATTAAAACTGAATTAAGAAATAGTTTTGAAACGAATCTTTGAGCTTAACAAACAAAATTAAATATGTAGGCTAACGGATGTTTTCAGTGCAGTGTGGTTTCCTTATCCATGTGAAAGTAAAGAGAGAGTAAAGAAGCTGAATGGAGGAGGCTCATTCTTTAACGTCGCTGCAGATGGTCTGTTTAACTGTTTTTTTGCTTGTGAAGCGTTTAGTTTATCCACCTACCAAGTCTGCCATGTAAATAGCTAAAGCACCATGGTGTGGCCCAACTGACTCTTAAAGAGAATGGGAGATGAGACTCTGATTCATTTAATGCAAGTTATGCTCAAGACATACCCATAACTCATTTAGGTAATAAGCACCCAGAATTTTTCAATCCTTAAAATCACAAAAGAATATTCGGACATGCTCTTATTGCTTTTGTGCCATGCGCTTTAGACTTTGCGCCTAGATCGTTAAAATAGGGCCCTAAGTCATGCAACTTGTTTTACACAATATGGACGTCTTGTTGCGCGTAATCGATGTCACTTTAATGTTGTGATATTTTTTCACCACCTATGACTGGAAATAATGTCTAGAAGACCACATGAAGTCAGACATCTGACTTTTAAGGTGGCTTACTTCCAACAAGCATATTGTGGAGCTACTTAGTTCAACTTTTTTTTAAGCAGAGCATTAGATGTTAATTATATGTAATGGTAGTACAGTACATTCATCTCTGCTTCTCAAAACCTTTAAAAAATGAAAGACAGCATTTTGGTTGATTTTTTAAAAGTGAAACAACCATGCATCTTTTTGACTTCATATTGTCAAAAAGTAGTCATGATGTGTGATTGACTGGAACTCATGCTGCATTTAAGCTGGGCCAATGTCAAATATAAGCAGTTGCTCAACAGTTGATCAGTTGCTCGTTGGTCACTGCCTTCTTGGAAATGACTTCATGCTGGATGTCTGAAGTGGAGCAGCATTTCACATACAGTATTACTTTTAAGTGGGAGGTCAGAAGATTCTGTTCTTCAGAACATGATATGAAGTTGAAAATGATAACAGCACAAGCCTACAAGTTTAACAAAAGTTTTCCTGGCTTTCAGTAGTGAGAGGCTTCACTATGCTCTGTCAAATAAAACGTTTAATGAATTGGCAACCTATCAGGTAATCATCAACCTACAGCAGTGGTCTCAAACTCGATTCCTGGAGAGCCACAGCTGCAGATTTTAGCTCCAACCACCTCCAACTCACAGCTGCTTAATAGGCTGTTTCTCGATTCCAAGAACGCAGAGAACGGACTTGCGTTCTAGTGAAGACCAGTTTTTTCAGATCACCTCGGAAGAATGAGGAAATTACGAGAACAGAGAACACATCCTCTGAAAAATGAGATGCTGCGTTCTTCCTGATGGTCACTTGGTCACGTGCTTCATGCATTTTTAATGGAAAAATATTTAAACATTACAGCATGCATGCGATTTATTGCTTGTCCCCTTTTCTCAATATAAACTATGCATAAAGACTTTACAAAAATACTTTGCACAATATAAATAAAACAGATTTTAATATGAATTTCAACAAATAAACCCCCCTAATGTGTTTATGCCTTAATTAAGAATTTCATGTGAATGTTTTCATTTTTTTATTTGGGAAAACTCCTGAGATAAATAACTTCTGGGACTTCTAGAGCGAGTTTTGCGCTCAAGTCTGCATCGATGCATCTGCGATACCAAGAACACATACAGGAACTTTCACGCTTCCTCCGTTCTTGCGGTCATGAGTTTTGGAACTAAACTTTGGCAGTTGATGATGATGTTACATAAGAACATGAGGACGCAAGATCACTGAAGAACGCATGTTAAGAAACAGCCATATTCTCTAGTAATTTTGAACACTTTGATTAGTTGGATCAGCTGTGTTTGATTAGGATTGGAGCAAAACTGTGCAGAGCTGCGGCCCTCCAGGAATCAAGTTTGAGCTATGACTTACACTATGGTATTGGATTGATCTTTTTTTTTTGTTTAATAAAATGTACTGGGACAATTTAGCAACACTTAGGATAACTGAGTGTATATTTAAACGACTAATATAATCAGTAAGATTTCAATCAGATTGCATAAAATAAGAATCCACAACATGTTTTGGCTTCAGTGGTCTACAATAGTTTTAAATCAATGTTACCTGTGGGTTCAGGTGTGTACACTGTCTCCGTCTCTTCTCCCTGGACTTCTGTCCCGTTGGTACAGGCGCACTTCAGTACAGTGAGGATTCTCAATTTGACTGGTTTCTCAAGGTCAAACTGGGCAGCGTAGGTCAGTTTGACAGTTCGAACACTCTGTACAACACAAAACAGCACAATTGGAGTCACAAATCACGGTGCTTTCACTGTACGGATAATAGGATTATATATTTCAATTACACTGACACTCTAAGTAAGAGGTGAGCATTCTTTTATAATTTTTTTGAAGATTGCCTGCAGGTGGTTGTGGTCACAGAAGGATTGCATTAAATTAAACAAAGATTTGGCTCGGCTTTTTGGAGTTCCCTGGAACTCTACACTGTTGTTTCACTTGTGCTTGCAATGGACCTTAGAGTGCACTTAAGTGTGATTCATTAAATGAAGCAATGAAATGGAGGTAAAACCAATGTGACCATTCTCAGTTTTTAGATAATATTTGTCATGCCATTCAGTTGCTTTGAAAACACAGTTTTATTCCGATGGCTGATATTGAGCTATGATAATAAAGATCTTCAACGAGGAATTTCCACAAAAATCAGCATAAAAGAAATCTTCTGTTAATCAAAGCAAATCATTCAAATCATGCCAAAGAGTGAAGCATGCATGAAGTGTGAAATAGGCAAAACGTGTTTGTTTTTGTGGCAGAATATGCAGCAGAATGAAAGTTTACTAATTGAAATGAAAATAAATGTGTGTGAGGCCTGTTTTGTGGGTGGATTCTCACCCTCCATCGCTCCTCGTAGGTGTCAAAGTATCGGAGCTGGTATCGCACTGTGCAGCCCGTGAGGTTCTGAAGGCTAGCTGGACGAGTCCACTGGATATTGAGGTAACCCAGAAAGCCAGGATCTGTTATCTCAATATTAGCAGGTGGATCCACTGTAAGGAAGGAATAGTGTAAGTTAACGAGCAATATTTGTTGCACTGTTAATGGATTAGTTCACCCAAAAATTTTAATTTGGTTATTAATCACTCACCCTCATGATTCTAATGCAAATACATTATATTGCACACAGGAAACACACTCAAAAGTGTTGTTTAAGCTTCATATGATTACAGCTGGACCACTGAAGTCACAAGTAATGTTTTGGTAATGCTACACTTTAATCAGCTAGTAGCTAGCTCTTTGCAACTATCACATTTTTGCTCACTTAAGCTAAGCAGGGCACTGAACCTGTGGTCTGTGTGGGTCTTAATGTCCCAGTATAGTGAAGGGGACTCTATTCTGCTCAGTGAGCGCAGTCTTTCGGATGAGACCTTAAAACTGAGATTCTGACTCTCTGTGGTTGTAAAAGAATCCCAGGATGCCCACTGGTCTCTGTCCATCATGGCTTCCTAACCATCCCTGTATCATAATTGGCTTCATCACTCTGTCTCCTCTATACCAATTAGCTGGTGTGTAGTGTGCAATCTGGCGCAATATGGCTGCCGCTGCATCATTCAGGTGGATGCTACACACTCATGGGAGATTCCCCCAACGTGTCAAGCGATTTCAGTGTCAAGAAAAGCGCTATATAAATGTAAGGTAGGGGTGCCAAACCCTGTTCCTGGAGATCTACCTTCCTGCAGATTTCAGTTGCAACCGGCATCAAACACACCTGCCTGTAATTATCAAGTGCTGTTCAGGTCCTAGTTAATTGGTTCAGGTGTGTTTGATCAGGGTAGGAGCAGAACTACGGAGGAAGGTATACCTCCAGGAACAGGGATGAGCACCCCTGATGTAAGGAATTATTATTATTATTATTATTATTTTTATTATTATTATTATTATTATTATTATTAATCATCTTGGCTGTCTGTGGAGAATGAGAGAGCTCTCTGATTTCATCTAAATATCTTTATTTGTTCTCTAAAAATTAAGGTCAAAGGGGATTGAATGGCACAAAGATGAGTTTTTAATATCAGAATTTTCATTTTTGTATGAACTAATCCTTTAAAACTTGGCTTGCCGAAAGACATTTTGAACTCTGTAAGTTAGCTGAGTCAGTCGCATGAGTCAAACTTTTTGTAATGAAATATAGTGGAATCAGACAAGCTTTTAACTGTGGCAAAACGTCATCTCAATTCTTTGCTGGTCTAGTCATTAAGTTAAGCAACTAAAGAAATCGCGTCAAAAGGACATGATGAAATAAATGTTAAAGACACCATACGGGCTGTATTTTAGGATGTGTTCACACTAGGCATTCTGGTTAAAACTCTGGTGCAGTTGATATGTTAGTAGCATGTGGGTCAATGCAATATGGACTAGAGGCATATATTTATATAACAACATGACATGTCATCACAAGATGAAAAACAGGAGAAAAAAAACAGAAAGTGTGCTCAAGAGTACCTCTTTTTTCACATTAAAGTCGTTATGAATTATAGTTTCACGTTCCTTCAGCTTAGTTCCTTATTTATCAGAGGTTGCCACAGCGGAGTGAACTGCCAGTTACTCTGGCATATGTTTTATATGTAATAGATGCTTTTCCAGCCTCAAACAATTCATTACATGTATCTTAAATGTCTCTGCTTGCAGATCTTTGTGTGTTTGATGAAGGAGTCACTGCCACTGTTTAGTCTCTGTTCTGCCCAGCACACAGCATTGTTTTATATGTTCAGTAAGTTCTGATATATGTCCTAACTTTTGTTTTGTATCTTCAAGTTCAGCCTTTGAAATAATAGCGTGAACACAAAGAACTAAATGTTCCGTTTTCTTTTTTGTCATTGTCAAGTGAACCGAACAACAAGTGTGAACACACCTAGTATCAAATGATTCAAGATTTGTCCATGCAAGCGCAGACTATCTTATACAGTATGTATGTGATTCCCTTGGAGGAGGCCTGGAATTGTGCCTTTTGTTTTAATGGCTTCTTTGGAATCAGTCAGGAAACTCACCCGCAGCTCCACAGGCCATGACCTCTGATGTGGAGATGGGCTGAGTCAGCAAAAGCACAGCGAACGCAGAGAGCCATGCAGAGAACCTATTCAGCAGCAGCATGTCCTTTAGAAGTGTTATTATCTGTGCCTATAGAGGGATAAAGCATTAAACATTTACATCAGTCCAATGATGAGCTTTCATTCTTCTGTGACCTGCAATGCAGGTAAAACAGCACTCTGTTTAAATTGATTTACAACTACACCGGTCCCCATTTTTTACCCTTTGTGGTTCGAAAATGAATAACTGTTCACACACATTAAACGCTCACGCTAAAGGTGTGGCCCCTTTGTTATGATAAACTGGTTTGTTTTGAACTTTCACTAGCAAAGACTGCTTAATATCATATCAGCTCACTGGCATCTTAACAGCTGTTCTGCATCACTGTATATCTTCATTGTTCTTTGCATGAAATGAATAGCTTTGTCAAAAAATTTACAAAACAAATCTCTTTTCATCTAAACATTGTTCTTCCAACCACATCTGAATTTGATTAAAACTTGAATTATTTGAAAAAGAAAAGTATGTGTGTGTGTGTGTATGTATGTATATATATATATATATATATATATATATATATATATATATATGTGAGTGTGTGTGTGTGTGTGTGTGTATATATATATATATATAGTGTTTTACAAACTTGTGTTTTTGAAAAAAAGATGCTTTTTAGTTATTTTTGGTAACCATTGTATTTTGGTTTAAATTAATTTAATTGAGCGAAAATTACGTTTTTTGGGGTAATTTTTAAGGTAGCACAGAAGAAAAAACTGAATGAGTGGCTGAGCAAATTAAGTTTCATTTCTTTGTGAATTTTTCCCTTAACACAAATCATTATATTGAAATAGATTGCATAAAATTAAAAGGAAAGCAAGAAATTCAAATAAATTAAAGGGATAATTGACTCAAAATTGAGAATTCTGCAATAATTTACTCACACTTGTTTTCTTTATGAATTTCTTTTTCTGTTGAACACGAAAGAAGAGATTTTGAGAAATGTTAGAAACCTGTAATCATTGACGTTCATAGTACTACATAGTGTCAACAGGAGAAGGAAACTCATAAAGCTTTTGAACCCCTTAAAGGGATTTAAATAGTCTGCAAATTCTTTTTTGGTTTATTTTTTGAGAGAGCTATCCCTTTAAATATTATTAATAACATACATCAAGTATATTAATGTTCATACACACAGAAATGTACAGTATATATTTTGATATCCAATGTCAAAAGTTGTTTCTAATTTTATAAAGCATAAAAACAACACAAATGTGTAATATAGTTTTATACTTTGTTAAATCTAACGTAACAATTTGACTTGACATGTTAAAATAAAAGCTGTTATTTCAATAAACTGAAATATTTACCATAAATGATATCTGTACTCACAAAATGAATATTATAAATGAAATTAGCATATACAGATAAATAAAACAGATCTGAGGATAATAAAGAAGACTGAACATTCACATGTCAAACAAGAGAAAGCTACTGAAGTACAAAAGACCAGAGGAAAAAAGTATACTCACAGTCAGTGCCTGAAGATGGTCTGAATGAACTCATGTTCTGTTCTGGGATTTTGTAGGTGAGACGCCTCCTGTTGGTTATTAAGCAGAACTCCAGACCTATTATAAGGAAACCTACCACAGCATACAAGTCTCTGCCAAGACATAATTAAAGTCATTAAAAGTTTAATACATGTGGTTTTATCATTCAACATGAACTGGTAAAGTGATCGCTCAACATGAACAATATATAACAAAGGGTTATTTGTTGCTGGAGCTGTATTTACATAGAGCAAAAAAAAGAGGCAAGGTTGCAAATATGTTTCTGTGCGAGTTGTGAGCATCAAGTCACTCAATGTTTACTTTTATTCACTCTGTTTATTCACTTTTCCCACTTATGTGACGAATTAAAGCTAAGCGAGTGGGAGAAAAAAAGACAAATGTGTTTCCAGGAGGAATGTTTATATTGAATAAGAGAGAGCTGAGCTATTTTAACTCACAAGCACAAACATTTTTTTCTCTTCTGATTAACATGTACCCTCTGTGTTTTAATGCTGATAGGAAACAGCAGGTTTTCAAGCAACTACCATTGATGAGAAATAAAAAATGTTAGAAAGAAGAGCCTTGTAATTCAATATGCTATAAAATGTGCTAAAAAGCAGGATCGGGGTCTTGTAAACAGACCGTAATGCATGCATTATAAACTAATACTTAATCCTTGTGTACTGTTCCAATTGACTGCCCTTTCGTTTTGTTGGTGGCTGTCTTTGGATCATTGACTTCCATTAAAATGACATTTTTTGATTGCAAAGCCATGACACCATAGAATCAAGCATTTTTGATTGTTGGTGGTTTTCCCTGTTGGCAAGAGGTAAAATGTGTTATTTTTACTGAGTTTATTGTTAAGAATTTTCAAAGCATTTTCACAAAATATGTGTCAAATAAGATTTGTCTCCAAAAAATAATGTCATTTGCTAAAACTCAAAGGAAATTGTGGCCAAATTAAGACATAAAATGACCACAGAGTGGATAAAAACAATCTCAACAGCACACATGGCTTAAAATATGTTCCGTTTACAAAATCCTAATCCTGCTATTTTAGTTTAGTTAAATTATATAACATACTCACCGGCCACTTTATTAGGTACACCTTACTAGAACTAGGTTGGACTCCCATCTGCCTTCAGAACTGTTTTAATCCTTCGTGGCATAGATTCAACAAGGTACTGGAAATATTCCACAGAGATTTGGCTCCATATTGACATCCGAGTATCATGCAGTTGCTGCAGATTTGTCGGCTGCACATCCATAATGCAAAACTCCTGTTCCACCACAACCCAAGAGTGTTCTATTGGATTGAGTTCTGGTGACTGTGGAGGCCATTTGAGTACAGTGAACTCATTGTCATGTTAAAGAAACCAGTCTAAAATAATTTGCGCTTTATGATATGGCGCATTATCCTGCTGGAAGTAGCCATAAGAAGATGGGTACACTGTGCTCATAAAAGGATGGACATGGTCAGCAATAATACTCAGGTAGGCTGTGGCGTTGACACATTGTCAATTAGTACCAATTGGTACCTAAAGTGTGCCAGAAAAATATCCCCACACCATTACACCAACAGCCTGAACCACTAATACAAGGCAGGATACAACCACTAATACAAGGCTTTCATGTTGTGGACGCCAAATTCTGACCCTGAAATCTGAAAGTCGTAGCGGAAACAAATTCCAATCTTCTGTTGTCCAATTTTGGTAAGCCTCTGTGAATTGTAGCCTCAGTTTCCTGTTCTTAGCTAACAGGAGTGGCACCCGGTGCGGTCGTCTGCTGCCATAGCCCATCCACAGCCACAGCTGTATCGCCCTGCAGCCCAAGACGGGTCACTCACTAAAGCTAAGCAGGGCTAAGCCTGGTCAGTACCTGGAGGGGAGACCACATAGGAAAACTAGGTTGCTGTTGGAAGTAGAGTTAGTGAGGCCAGCAGGGGGTGCTCAATCTGCAGTCTGTGTGAGTCCTAATGCCCCAGTAAAAGTGAAGGGGACTCTATACTGTCAGTGGGCGCCATCTTTCGGATGAGATGTTAAACCGAGGTCCTGACTTTCTGTGGTCATTTAAAATCCCATGACACTTCTCGAAAAGAGTAGAGTCTCTCTATCGACCTTTATGATCATGGCCTCCCAATCATCCCCATCCACTGAATTGGCTGTATCACTGTCTCTCTACTCTCCACAATAGCTAGTGTGTGGTGAGCGCACTGGTGCCTTGTCCTGTGGCTGCCGTCACATCATCCAAGTGGATGCTGCAGACTGGTGGTGGTGTGGAGAGACCCCCTCATGATTGTGAATCGCTTTGGTTGTATGACCATTCACAATAAATGCGCTATATAAATACACACATTACATTACATTACATCTGCCTCAAGGTTGGACGTGTTGTGCACTCAGAGATGCTCTTCTGCATACCTCGGTTGTAACGAATGGTTATTTGAGTTACTGTTGCCTTTCTTTCAGCTGGAACCAGTCTGGCCATTCTCCTCTGATCTCTGAGAAAAACAAGACATTTGTGCCCATAGAACTGCCGCTCACTGAATATATATATTTTTTCTGACCATTCTATATAAACCCTAGGAGAGAGTTGTGCGTGAAAATCCCAGTAGATCCGCAGTTTCTGAAAAACTCAGACCAGCCAGTCTGGAACTAACAATCAATGTCACTTAAATCACCTTTCTTTCCTGTTCTGATGCTTCATTTAAACTGCAGCAAATCATCTTTACCATGTCTATATGCCTAAATGCATTGAGTTGATGCCACGAGATTGGCTGTTTAGAAGCGTTAACGAGCAGTTGGACAGGTGTACCTAATAAAGTGGCCAATGAGTATATGTATGTGCTAGCCTATTTTGTGAATCCTTTTTGCACATTTTTCATTTACCATCAATGGTACTTAAAGTAGCATATGCAGCATCTTACTCATTCACTCACTCTTTGAATTTATCAGGGGTCGTCACAGAGGAATGAGCCACCGATAACTCTGGCATCTGTTTTTTATGCGGCAGACACTCTTCCAGCTGCAACCTAGCATTGGGAAACCATATGCAGTATCTATAGCATACATTCAACAATGCATAATAAAACCAGCTGTAATAAATCTGCTTTGAATAAGGGTTCACTTCTGCAGCTCATTTTAATTCCGTGACCATTGAACCACCAGCTCGACTTATATAGCACTTTGTTCAGCAGTGTAACTTGAGAGAGCACGCTTCTTCATGACCACTTGCATTCTCCTGGGAGATTCCCTGGAAAAAAAAGAGTCACAAGCTTTCCTTGGAAATTCATAGTTCCCCTAATCATGCAGCAGATGGTGCAGACAGATATTTGAACAGCCCAAGCCCATATTACTCATCTTTGATGTTTTAATCGTTGCTCATTTCAGTTTGACACTTACACAGGGCATTTCCTGTCATGAAGAATTAAAGAAGAAGCACAATGAAACACTGTAAAAGGTCATTTTATTGACATCTGAATCGTTCCGTTTGTCCTTCTCTTTAGGAAACATTCAAATGTGT